ATTATTTGATCATTCTTTCCCTGGAAGGATTCGTGACTTGCAAAGGTGTTTGAAAGCCCTGCAGTCTGACTCTGTAGGAGCGTGTGGTTTAAACCTCAAACTGAGACATTCACGCATGAGTCACAGTGATTGACACGCTGAAGGCAGAATAATGAAAGCTTTCCTCATTATGAGGTGCAGGACTAATATTTCAACTTTTACTGAAGTCATGAAGTCACACAAGACCTCTAACACTATTAATGTTCTCTATAATAATCAGTGGGCAGAAATGAAATCTCAAATGCTTCTAATGCCATCAAATGTTACATTTACACATATGCAACTTCTCATAATGTGACCGATGCGATGATGTTGTATCCGTGTTGATTTCTGTAAAGGGCATTATGGGAAGAGGATCATCTTTCAGCAATACCCATCCTTCCGCTCTAGTGATGCGTTGCATTAGGATTATTGCATTTTACATTTCTGAAATGCAACCTTTCCTATAGATCCTCTTCCGGATTTCAACTTTTTGATTCACATCATGATCTGTGCACATGTTAATCCGCCCTATATATTACATATTGCATGCAAAATATGCTAAATATTGTATTCTGTCTGCTGTCCATCTCATTTGACCTGCATTTAGGGATGCTTTTTTTATATTGTGGGTCTTTGTCTAAGTAAGTCGGCATGCATTTGCAATATGCATACATTTCCAGAACACAAATCTGAACATTGGATACAAAATTATTGTTTTTTGGGTGTGTATATGTGACCCTGGATCACAAAACCAGTCATAAGTCGCACAGATATATTTGTGGGAATAGTCAACAATACATTGTATGGGTCAAAATTATCGATTTTTCTTTTATGCCAAAAATCGTTAGGATATTAAGTAAAGATCATGTTCAATGAAGATATTTAGTTAATTTCCTACCGTAAATATACAAATATTTTATTTTTGTGAGTGAATGCTGCGCAGTCGCGAACATAAATGCACAACTTTAAAGGAGATTTTCTCAATGTTTAGATTTTTTTGCACCCTCAGATTTTCAAATTGTCATATCTCGGCCAAATATTGTCCTATCTTAACAAACCATACATCAATGGAAAGCTTATTTATACAGCTTTCAGATGATGTATACATCTACATTTCCAAAAATTGACCCGTGTGACTGGTTTTGTGGTCAAGGGTCACATATATGGTTTAAACTATTATTATAAACTGATTTTTTTGTGCTACTATAATAATGACCAAATGCAGTAGAGACATCAGTCAGTCAGTCATGAGGAGTTATGAACGCTCTCAGCACATAACATCAGATTTCTCTGAGTGTTTACCACTCTTTCCACTCTTGTCATCATCATTTGTCCATTACAGCACTGTAGAGTTATCCCTGACTGTATTGAACTAAATGCTCTGGGACCTTTATTAGCACTGCAACAATTAATCCAAGTCAGAGTTGAATAATTCAGTTAATTGTAGAAATATTCAACATCATCAGGGCAGTTGTCATTTGCAGCTCTGTTTAATAAATGTATAAATGATGGTGGTCAGAAGAAAAAAAAAACAGTTTTCCATGATTCAATCAATCTGTTTTTTTTCTATGAGGTGATGGGAAATAAATATTTAGTATTTAGGAATTAAAAAAAGTGATCTTTAAATCTTTACAGGAATTTAAATATTATTATAATAATAATAAATATATATTATGTGTATGTATATGTGTTTTATAAATTATTATAATAATAACAATAAAAGTATACATTTGAATTGTTTTTTATATTTATGAAAATTTTAAAAAGTATATAAAATCAATATTATATATTTTTAAATTTAATAATGTGTAATAACTACAATAATTTATTAGTATATATATTATGTGTGTATGTATATGTGTGTATACATTATAATAACAATAATATTTATAATAGTTTTTATTAATATATATATAATGCAAGTAAATATTAAAAAGACTGAAAATAATATATAATCAATATTATGTATTACATTTTTTCATGTGTAATATTTATTAGAATGTATATTAAGTGTGTATAAATGTGTATATGTAATAATAATAACAATACCCATAATATTAACAACACATTTTATTATAGATAAATACATAGATAGACACAGATGTATTATACATAGATGCATAGATTAGATAAAAATAAATATTTAAAAGATTGAAAAGAAATATATGATAAATTTTATATATTATTAAATTGTTTCATGTGTAATAATAGTATATATATTGTGTGTGTATGTACGGTAGGCTTTATGTTTTTAGTCGTATTGCTCTGTTGTTGTTTGAACACACACACACACACACTCATTGTACTGTGTGTGTGTCGTAGGGAACAGCCGATCTACAGCACACGAGCTCATGTGTTCCAGATCGATCCCGGCACCAAACGCAACTGGATCCCGGCCAGCAAACATGCGGTCACCGTCTCCTTCTTCTACGACGCCAACAGACACGCTTACCGCATCATCAGCGTGGGGGGGACCAAGGTGAGGCGCTTTCTCGCTCACAACCGGTTTGGTCTGTAGGTTGATGTAATCTGTGGCGAGTTTCGCTGTTATAAACTCTGTGATCAACACAGGTTTGGTGGCAGATATTCCCGACACACACCAGAGATATTCCCCGACACACACCAGAGATATTCCCCCGACACACACCAGAGATATTCCCCGACACACACCAGAGATATTCCCCGACACACACCAGAGATATTCCCCGACACACACCAGAGATATTCCCCAACACACACCAGAGATATTCCCCGACACACACCAGAGATATTCCCGACACACACCAGAGATATTCCCCGACACACACCAGAGATATTCCCCGACACACACCAGAGATATTCCCCGACACACACCAGAGATATTCCCCGACACACACCAGAGATATTCCCCAACACACACCAGAGATATTCCCCGACACACACCAGAGATATTCCCCAACACACACCAGAGATATTCCCCAACACACACCAGAGATATTCCCCAACACACACCAGAGATATTCCCCGACACACACCAGAGATATTCCCCGACACACACCAGAGATATTCCCCCGACACACACCAGAGATATTCCCCGACACACACCAGAGATATTCCCCGACACACACCAGAGATATTCCCGACACACACCAGAGATATTCCCCGACACACACCAGAGATATTCCCCGACACACACCAGAGATATTCCCCAACACACACCAGAGATATTCCCCGACACACACCAGAGATATTCCCCGACACACACCAGAGATATTCCCCAACACACACCAGAGATATTCCCCCGACACACACCAGAGATATTCCCCAACACACACCAGAGATATTCCCCAACACACACCAGAGATATTCCCCAACACACACCAGAGATATTCCCCGACACACACCAGAGATATTCCCCGACACACACCAGAGATATTCCCCAACACACACCAGAGATATTCCCCCGACACACACCAGAGATATTCCCCAACACACACCAGAGATATTCCCCTACACACACCAGAGATATTCCCCTACACACACCAGAGATATTCCCCTACACACACCAGAGATATTCCCCGACACACACCAGAGATATTCCCCGACACACACCAGAGATATTCCCGACACACACCAGAGATATTCCCCGACACACACCAGAGATATTCCCCGACACACACCAGAGATATTCCCCGACACACACCAGAGATATTCCCCGACACACACCAGAGATATTCCCCAACACACACCAGAGATATTCCCCAACACACACCAGAGATATTCCCCAACACACACCAGAGATATTCCCCAACACACACCAGAGATATTCCCCAACACACACCAGAGATATTCCCCAACACACACCAGAGATATTCCCCAACACACACCAGAGATATTCCCCAACACACACCCGAGATATTCCCCAACACACACCAGAGATATTCCCCGACACACACCAGAGATATTCCCCGACACACACCAGAGATATTCCCCAACACACACCAGAGATATTCCCCAACACACACCAGAGATATTCCCCGACACACACCAGAGATATTCCCCGACACACACCAGAGATATTCCCCGACACACACCAGAGATATTCCCCTACACACACCAGAGATATTCCCCAACACACACCAGAGATATTCCCCAACACACACCAGAGATATTCCCCAACACACACCAGAGATATTCCCCGACACACACCAGAGATATTCCCCTACACACACCAGAGATATTCCCCTACACACACCAGAGATATTCCCCAACACACACCAGAGATATTCCCCGACACACACCAGAGATATTCCCCAACACACACCAGAGATATTCCCCAACACACACCAGAGATATTCCCCGACACACACCAGAGATATTCCCCAACACACACCAGAGATATTCCCCTACACACACCAGAGATATTCCCCGACACACACCAGAGATATTCCCCTACACACACCAGAGATATTCCCCAACACACACCAGAGATATTCCCCTACACACACCAGAGATATTCCCCGACACACACCAGAGATATTCCCCAACACACACCAGAGATATTCCCCGACACACACCAGAGATATTCCCCTACACACACCAGAGATATTCCCCAACACACACCAGAGATATTCCCCTACACACACCAGAGATATTCCCCAACACACACCAGAGATATTCCCCGACACACACCAGAGATATTCCCCTACACACACCAGAGATATTCCCCTACACACACCAGAGATATTCCCCAACACACACCAGAGATATTCCCCGACACACACCAGAGATATTCCCCAACACACACCAGAGATATTCCCCAACACACACCAGAGATATTCCCCGACACACACCAGAGATATTCCCCAACACACACCAGAGATATTCCCCTACACACACCAGAGATATTCCCCGACACACACCAGAGATATTCCCCAACACACACCAGAGATATTCCCCGACACACACCAGAGATATTCCCCTACACACACCAGAGATATTCCCCGACACACACCAGAGATATTCCCGACACACACCAGAGATATTCCCGACACACACCAGACTCACGTTAGACTGGGCGTCTCCTAATCCACAGCTGATGAGTTGGACGTTGTCTCGACCCGTATGAACACTATCACTTGGGAATGGAAAAAAGATCTCAAAGTCCAACCCTTTCAGTCTTTAAAAACCTTTCCTGAAAGTGTGAGTTAGAATAGTTTGATTATAAACACAATGAGGACAGGGGCGAAAATTTCATCAAAATGTTGGGGGGACAATAAACATAACAATTCTCAAGAACAATTTTTGAAGGGGACAGCAATAATACAGGCAAAATTGTACTTGCAAGGATATGTGTACACTGAGGAAAGCCTTACTACTATTATTAGTGTAGCATGGAGACCGTTCCATTATCCTTCTTCTCAAAGTTTCTTTCTGGTTTAATGAAAAAGCTGACTAAATTGACCAAAACAATTCTTCAAAACCATATGGGTGCCAGATTTCTATAGAGCCTTCCAGGCGAAAACCCGGCTAAAAATTCTTCAAAACCATACATTTTTGGGTTTTCGCCTGGAAGGCTCTATAGAAATCTGGCACCCAATTGAACGAAGTTAAACTGAGAGAGCGTGCGTTCACAGACACCAGAATGAACGCGTTCACAGTAACGTTTATCAGGCAGAAATACAGTACCTTCAGTTCACGTTCGCCCAAAATATGAACGAGTTCATGAACTATCGTTCAATGAACAACACTAATTAAATGATATAAACCGACTAAATCACAGTGAAAGCGTTAAAATCTAAATGTGCACCCGGACTAGTCTAATCTACAAGACTAACGTTACATTACGTAGTGTATGCGTACACTCTATGGCTGTGTGTGTGTGTGGGGGGGGGGGGGATATACTGTATTACTGTATTAAAGGACAACTCCGGCGCAAAATGAACCTTTGGTCTAATAAAACATTGGTACCTAGTCAACCGTTCTCTGAGATTTGTTTTCATGATAATCGAATGTAAAGAGTTTTATCTCTAAAAACTGTTTAGCGTATAACGCTAGTAATGGGGGCATTTAATAAGTAAAAAGAAATCGCTAGTTTATACCACTAACAAGGCTCAAAAATAGCCCCACACGAACACAGTAACATAATGAGGGTCCCTACATGCAAAACGAAGCATTGAGAACTTTGTAAGTGTACAGACCGTTTAATAAGAAGATATTTTATGAAGACAGTCCACTTCGTGTATACAGACAGGAGCCATCTTTGGAAAACAGTCTCGACTAATCAAACCACGAACGCCATACATACAGTTCAGCTCACTTAGCACGTCGTCAGTGACAAACGACTATCACGCTATCAGTGACAAAAGTACATTAGTACACAATCATATATTTGTTTTTACATGATTTATTATTAATGACTCAGCATCATCTATATTAAAGAGAAAATAATCACTTCATCCAATGTTTAAAGTGAATAAAATAACATTGACTAACTGGAGTTCCACAACTACTCAAAAACAGTTCATCGGCCGCCACCGGAATGTGTGTGTGTCGGTAAAAGGGGCGGAGGCAGTGGACCAAAGCACTGTGAGGCAAGGGAGGGGGGACTCAAAATGTTTAAAACGTTTTTTTGTTGTTGCCCCGTATGCATTTGTATGATTTTATTTCTTAAACAATTATTTTAAGAATATATCATTATTTTATTTACAACACACATATTTTAATGATATTTTAGGGGGGACAACCCTCAGATAGGGGGGGTCCTGAACCCCCCCCCCCCCGCGATTTCCGCCTATGAATGAGGATGTGAAAGCAACTAGTAAGTTAGTCTACCCATTTAAAGCTCTTCATTTAGACACCTGTGAGCAACCTTCTTTTTTTTTCAAAACAAGTAAAAGCTTTAGAAAAAATCATAAGAGGGGGGTATTACTGATGCACTAATTTTTCGAGTTTCACCTGTATATTGTGCAGCACTATACATTTATGCATTTACATTTACTATACATTTATTATACTTATGCATTTATCCATTGCAGTCGGTACACGTTTGATCAAGTTCTCAAACCCATGACCTTGTCATTGCTAGAGCTCAGTTTAGCTCAGTTCAGTTCAATGTTGGTTCAGTTCAGCTATCAGAAGACAAAAGTCTCATTATTCAGTGCAAGTCAATTGCAATTTTGTTCTCATCTGATAGTGTCAGTGCGGTTAAACCGATAATATTACTGAATATTAATTTGTCCTTTTGACATTTAGACCTTTTGACAGTCTAATTGATTAATGAGTCAAGACGAAGATTGTGGTTGATATCACACATGTTTATTCATCACGCTGAAAATGGGAGCTCAAATTGACTGCATTGCATTGTGGGAAGTGGTTTTGCATTGGTATTCTCTGGATTTATATATATATATGCACATTTTCATCATGGCCCTTGTGAAAAAGAAGTACGCTTTTGCATACTTTGAAAAAGAGAATTAATTGCAAAAAAATTATTTACTT